ACCGATTAGGAACTTTCTAACAAACCTACCACCACTCAAGGACATTATCTGACAGATCTAGTAACTATTTACATGCCGAAAGTCAAAGGGAAAGAAAGAGGAAAAATTTTTAGGCTAGTCCTTCATCTTAAAATCTTCTTCTTCTTCTTCTTCTTCTTCTTCTTCTTCTTTTTCACAATCCAACCAAACATCAAAAAAAAAAATGATGCCGTTACCTTTTATTCTTATTTTTCAAATAAAAATTTTGTATCTATTCACGAAATAATGTCTTAAATGACAAAATAGATGAAATAATAATAAAAAAAAAAAATATGAAAAATCAAAAATATTTTTTCAATGGAAAATAAAAAGGAATATTTCCATCCATCATTTTATTTTTTTTTTTATTTATTATTTTCTTACTATTTATTCAATCACGTAAATTCTCTATTTTATTTTCACAATACGATTCAAAAATGGATTAACTAAAATACAAAAAAAAAAGGAATTTTCTCTTTTCACACTGATCCGTTAGAGGAAGCGTTGTCAGTTTTTAGGATCAAACGTGTTAAACAGTAAATACATCGTCTGTCATATATAACAGACATAGCGGTCAAAAGTTAAAAGTAAGCTCAGAAATTGTTATGTCACGTTTGTTTTGTCCAATACAGTCAATCATAGTATGAGATCTTTTGTTCTCATTCTTCTTCTTGAAATTTTTATAAGTAATATTTTTTCTGGAAAGGACGTGACAGGATAAAACAATTTAGGAACCACTGAATTAATGAAATGTACAAACTCAACGTTACTGTGTAAATATAAAAAAGATGATGATTTTAATTTTATTTTAAACCGTGACTTTTTATAATCAGATAAACCCACAAATTCTTTTCTTCATTAAAGTACAGTCCGTGTCTAATATGGAGATTTATGTTCGTAGATAAAGGTAGCACCCTTATTATTGGGTGCATTTCAACTCTCTTTCTTTTGTATTTTCTATTGTATTTAGTCTTTTTTGTTTTTTTTTTTCCTATTTTTGTCTTCTTTTTTCTTTTTTCTTCTCTTACTATTCCATCGACCGTTTGATCTTCAATTCAGTGACCTTTTTTTTTCTTCTTTTTCCCGATGGGTTACTTTTCTTGCAATCTTTCATGTAATCGAAAATTTTAGGTAGCATGAACTATAGGAAAATTTCCAGTTAAGAATCTGAAAGAAAAAAAAAATGTGTTCGTCGGTGTCTTAAAAATAGGTTAAAATTTTCTGTGAAAAGAATATAGATGTGGGATTCCCCCTCCCCTGTTAGTCTTTTGAACAGATATTTAATCAAAGATAGGAAGGAATTCCGCGGTGTTGTCAAAGGTTGACATAGAAAGAAATACCTCTCTTCACGGATATGCAATATTTAATATAAAAAATAATAAGAATACAAAATAGTTGATAGTATAATAAAACGTCTTTTCTCTTTGGCCGCTAAAAGACGACTAACTCTCACTCGCTTTTCCTTAATTTTATGGATGATAGAGGTAAGGAGTAACATCTCTTATGGGAGAAAATGTGAAAAAGTGTCCAGCGTTTTCTATAAATAATAGTTCAAAAACCTTCCAGAAAAGCGTTGGTTCAGATAGAAGGTATAGTATGAATGTAGCAATTGTAAACGAATTAAAGTATGCCGAGTTATGTAATAATGTAGTAAATATACCATGGAGACTACACAAGGAGCACGAACTCAAACGTATTAATTGCCAAAATCTGTCCACGCAAATCGTATATTTAAGTTTTCTTGTGTCACGACTAGGGTCGCTAATATGCCCTTTGTACTGTTTTGAATATAGTAACATACTGATGCGTGAAGTGAGCAAGCAAATAGTTCTTAACCCTAATACTTGTTATTTATAACTTAAAAAATCTTCTTAAAATCTATCTCATCAAGAAAATGACGACTTCTTTTATACGCTACAACTCAGTTTTCCAAATAATAACTATTAGTACTAGTATTTTTCTTATATTTTTAACTTATATTGTAAATAATTATTGAAAAAATACAATAACCATTACTTTTGTCTGACTAAATTTTATTATCAATAAAATTTACGTTTAATACTATTTTTTTTTCTAAATGATTAGGACTTAATCTAAATTTAATATTATTATTTGTTGCGTATTGCGCAACGTGTGGTATGGAGTGTGTGTGGGGTGTTGTTTGGCGCGTTCTCGGGCGATCAAACTTCTGAATAGGACACAGGGAAGCGGGACATGCCTACGCCGATCCTTTCGAACACATACGATATCACAAGTGCAACAGCGCTCCTTCTTTAAAACAAGGTCCTCCCGCGCAGCTTAGTTTCCCTCTACGACCCTATTCTCGTCGGCGGACCATGGAGAGTGACCCGACGGTCATTGGCCAATCAATTTGGGGAGGGGAGTACACAAGCGACCTTTTTCCTATAAAAGGCTTCGGAAAATCGGCAGTTCATTCATTTTTTCAACCACGCTTCTCGCTTCACATTTACTCAACGCATCAAGAACAAGGAATAGTATATTACTCACCTAGGGAGCAAAGTATGGCATTCCGACCCGGGTTGGGATGTCATATATGAAATATAAATATAATATAATAATATATAATATACTAAATTTTAATATACTAATTTTAAATAATAATATACTAATTTTCTTCCCGGGCGAAAAGTGCCTACTTTTCTCCCGCTGCACCTGTAAGAAACGAAGTTGCCGCTTTCCGCCTTCCTCTCTTCCCGCTGTGTAAAACGAAGTTGCCGCTTTCTTACTATACTGTCCTAGGTATGTAATATACTATTTTATTTGTTGTCAATTAATACATTTTGCGAAGATTATGCAAATTTAACAACAAGCAAGGGGTCCAGGGGTGAAACCCCTGACGGGAACCTGGGGGCGAAGCCCCCAGAAAAAGGAATCAGGGGGTTCCGGGGGCACAGCCCCGGCGGGGGTTGAGGGGGCGGAGCCCCCCACTTAAAAAAAATTTAAATATAAAAATAAAATAAAATATAAAAAAACTTAGAAACAAATTTAAATATAAAAATAAATAAAATATAAAATTAGAAAACAGATTCAAGCGGGCGGGAATGTGGCACTTTGCTCCCTGAAAACAGGGAGCAAAAACGAACTTTCGATCCAGGTGTGAGAAAAAATTCATCGGCACCCGACAAAGCAGCCTAGCCACACCAGCAACGCAATCATCAGGCAGCTCAGCATCGGGGCGATAGTTCACAAGCAACAACGCATCAACGTGCTATACAATAAATAAAGGAACAACAATTATTCACACTGATTCACCTTCCTCCACAATCCATTAAAACCTTTTTTTTCTTTACGATAAATAAATAACATCGTACTGATCAAGGCACCTGTACGCAACATTATTATTACTATTTACTCATTTTTTTACGATTATTCAATAATTATTTATTTAATTTCAATTATTTATACTTGAACAACCTAAATGATTACCCTTTGTTTCCTATAATAATTTGTTTTTAAATTGCCGCCTTATTCCCCTTCCATTTTGGTACAAGGTAGAGACCCTATAGGAGGGACGCGCCATACATATTGCTGGGGTTGCTATTGGCTGAAAATTTTGGAGGGGCAGCTTCCGATGCAACGCGCAGCCATGTTTATTTTTAGTATGTATTAACGGCTGTGGTTAGTTTAAGTTTGGAATACTTATAGTTTTTATTGTGATATTTATGTTTAATTATTTTGGTTTTTTTTCAGTAGTTTTCTATAAGTGTAAATTTAATTTACTCATTAAATAATTACAAGTATAAATGTACAACCTAACCTATAACTTATCGTTTGTTTACAGACTAAAATGTTTGAATCATTCGCGCGCAATCACGTGACTACATAAGTTCCTGTCCCCCAAAATTCTTTGGTGCGTCCTCCTACAGGGTCCCTAGTACAAGGCGAACACGGACGCCCTCTTATTTTTATATCCCATTTGTATACATGGAGTTCGTGCTCCTTGTCTAGTCTCCATGAAATATACCCTTAAAGAATTATTATGAGAAGACGTGTAGCTAGAGTGATTTTATTTTGTGAACTGTGAATAGTACGTTTATTGATTTTTTATCATTTATGAAAAAATATGTGAATATCAAAACAGTTATGGGTAAAATTTGTGTTGTAAAATTTGTGTTCCTTGCTTATTTCTCAATCCTACTCTAATAATATTTGGCGCTTCCTTTAAAATTTACCCTGTAGCTACTGTGGCGCCACCCTAATTGAATGCATTTCGACGGACACTTTTTATATAAGAGATATTACTCGTTACCTCTATCCTCTATAATTGAGGTTAAGGCACCAGTTGTTGACTGATTAAGAGACATTTTGATCTTAAACAGTGATAACTTATTGTATTTTTATTGAATAGTAGATCCCAATGTGTGAAGATATTCTTTAAATTTCAGAAGTCATATGAGAAAGGATATTTTTCGAAAAAAGTTGTTTTATACAAAAATTAGGGATCCTATAGGAGGGATGCGCCATGTATATTGCTGGGGGATCGGAACTCGATTTTGCGCGCGAATGATTCAAACATTGAAATAATTATGAAATAATGAATTGCATTAAATACAGAAAAAAATGAACTATATTTAATGATAATTAAAAATTTATATTAAAATAGAAT